CCTTAGAAACATGGCAACATTATTTATGGCCCAAGGAATTCATCATTCATTCTGATCATGAAAGTTTAAAATTTCTCAAGTCTCAAGGTAAGTTAAACAAGAGACATGCTCGCTGGATGGAATTTATTGAAACCTTTCCTTATGTGATTAAGCATAAGCAAGGTAAAGAAAATATCGTTGCTGATGCCTTATCTCGAAGGTATACATTACTTTCCTATTTGCATGCTCAATTACTTGGTTTTGAGATTCTAAAAGATCTTTATAAAACTGATCCTGATTTTGAAAATATTTGGAAATCTTGTGAAAATCATGGATCTGGTGATTTCTTTAAATTTGATGGATTTCTTTTTAAGAAAAATAAATTATGCATTCCTATTTGTTCTATGCGTGAGTTGCTTACTAAGGAAGCACATAGTGGTGGTTTGATGGGACACTTTGGTGTAGATAAAACTTTGGCTATTTTGTCTGATCATTTCTTTTGGCCTCACATGCGGAAAGATGTCATATCTGTTTGTGATAAATGCATTAAATGTAGACAGGCAAAATCTAAGATCCAACCTCATGGACTTTACTCTCCTTTACCCGTCCCCTCTCACCCTTGGGAACATATCTCTATGGATTTTGTAATTGGATTGCCTAAATCTTCTGCAGGCAAAGATTCCATATTTGTTGTTGTTGATAGGTTCTCTAAGATGGCACACTTTATTGCTTGTGCTAAGACTAATGATGCTGTTAACATTGCTGACTTATTCTTTAAAGAGATTGTTCGTTTGCATGGTTTACCTAAGACTATTGTGAGTGACAGAGATGTGAAGTTTCTTAGTCATTTCTGGCGTACCCTATGGCATAAATTAGGGACTAAGTTACTTTTTTCCACTACTGCCCATCCACAAACTGATGGTCAAACTGAGGTAGTTAACAGAACTATGACTACATTATTAAGAGCAATAATTCAGAAGAATTTGAAGAATTGGGTGAATTGTTTACCTCATATTGAATTTGCTTACAACAGGGCTGTTCATTCTTCTACTTCTTATTCTCCATTTGAAATTGTTTATGGTTTCAATCCATTATCTCCTATTGATATTTTACCTTTGCCTTTCTCTGAGCATGCTAACACTGATGGCAAGGAAAAAGCTAAGTTTGTGCAGGACTTACATGCTAAGGTTAAAGCAAATATAGAGCGAAAGAATGAGCAATATGCCAAGCAAGCTAATAAAGGCAGGAGACGTGTGATCTTTGAGCCTGGAGATTGGGTTTGGTTACATTTAAGGAAAGAGAGATTTCCTAATCAAAGGAAGTCCAAACTTCAAGCTCGAGGAGATGGACCTTTTCAAGTTTTGGAAAGAATTAATGATAATGCTTACAAGATTGATTTGCCTAGCTCTTATGGCAATGTTAGTGCCACATTTAATGTTTCTGATTTATCTTTATATGATTCTGCAGATTCGAGGACGAATCCTTTCCAACTGGGAGGGAATGATGGGCCCCATGGCACAGGTGACATAACATTAATGGCAACGAAGCCTGAGGATGGTAATCATGAGCATGGTGACATAGAAGGAGCCCAATACTTCCAATCCAACGTACCTAAAGACCCATTGCAACATATTGGAGGTCCAATGACAAGAGCCCGAACCAAAGCCATGAAGCAAGCCTTGTTCAGTCTTGTGCAAGAAGTTCAAGAGCTTGGAGAGCATTGGGGCACTCCCCTCAAGTCCAAAGGAGAGCATCTATATGTGTATAATGTATTTAAGATCCAAACTCATGAAGAGTCAAGCCCAAGAGATGCAGACCTTAGCCCAATGCAAGGAAGACTACAAGTTGAGCCTCTTGCATGCAAGGAGACATGAAACCCTAGTAAAGAAGTCAAGAGTGGCGTGATTTCAAATCCTTTATGATCCCTTGATTGTCTCCTAAATTATTTCCTATTTTAATGGTCCTTTGATTTGATTTTCTATTTTGAGTCTAGTCAAAGGTTAGAATTAATTATAATATTAATTTCTAAATTTTGTAATCCCATAATTTTAGGATCACATCTCCTAAATTATGTGGCTAAATATTTTATCATTATTTCTCCTTTTAGTATTAGGAAATTAGGGTTTTAATTTTAGGAAATATTTTTTCTATAAGCCTATATAAATTAGGCATGCTCCCTATTGTAAACAACACAGAAGTTGAATGAAATTATTCATTTTAGAGTTTATAACTCTTGTGAGCCTTAGTGCTTTGTGGTGGTATCCCGTGTGAGAAACCGACGTGATCAAGAGCGTGATCAACTCTTGTGGTGTCTTCGAAGGTTGAGGTTCCTAGAGGCAGGTGCTCTAGAGGATCTTCTCCTTGATCATTATCCTATTGTTTACTTCATACCTTTCTTTATTTCCGTCATAAATTTCGTCCCTTTCTTTTTTTGTTCTTGTGTTTTTGTTGTTTCAGGGTTCTGTCCCTAAACTAGCACGATTCTGCTTCCGCGTCCCTATCACATTTTGTTGAGAAATAAAGAAAAATTAATGTTAAAAATGGGTGTCTATATATGATTATTGATTAAAATTTATACTTGAAACGTAATGTCTGACGCCCCCACCCCCCAAAAAAAAAAGAAAAAAAAAACATAATGTCTAAATTATATTACTCAAGCAAGTTCTACACATCATAGACTCCAACCCAAAGAAAAAAACACAAGGGGAAAAATAATCTTTACCACTCAAATGAACCGGTCTCCTTAAAATTGACAGTGCCAATTTTTTAGAAAAAGTTAAGAGAATCCAACGTAGTTTCTTTTCTTTCTTTCTTTCTTTCTTTCTTCCAATTACATGTGCTACTTGTTGATTTGATTTATGACTAATTGAACAGATGGGATTGGCAAGTGCACTGGACACCTTTTGCGGTCAATCATATGGAGCAGGACAACACCATATGCTCGGCATACACATGCAAAGATCCACGTTGGTTCTTTCACTAAGCAGTGTACTCCTTGCAATAATCTGGGCAAACACAGAACCAATTCTTGTGGCTATGAAGCAAGACAAACTCATATCAAAAGAAGCAGGATCATATGCCCATTGCATGATCCCAAGCCTCTTCGCATTTGGTCCTCTTCAGTGCATTATGAAATTCTTGCAAACCCAGAACATTGTCCTCCCCATGCTGCTAACTTCTGCAATTGCAGCTCTGTTTCACATCATCCTTTGTGGGGTTTTGGTGTTCAAATCTGGGCTTGGGAGTAAAGGAGCAGCCATAGCGATTTCTCTGTCTTATTGGGTAAATGTGGTGTTAATGGCACTGTATGTGAGGTTCTCTTCTTCCTGCAAACTTTCATGGACTGGTTTCTCAAAGAAGGCTCTCAACAATGTCCTTGACTTCCTTAAACTTGCTGTTCCTTCTGCTATTATGCTCTGGTATCTGTTTGAAGTCATAGTTAAGATTGTAACTGTGTATAATAATCTGGTGGCAGTTGATCTTTGTCTTTTTGAACTTGTACAGCTTGAAAGTGTGGACGTTTGAGCTGATGATCCTCTTGTCAGGCCTTCTTCCTAATCCAACCCTACAAACCTCTGTTCTTTCAATATGGTCAGTTAATTAACAAACTTTAATTTCACCACCTTTTTCCCCAAACCGTGATGAGTACGAGAAGTTTCTGATTTACAATTGCAGCCTCAATATGTTTTGTATAGCTTGGATGATCCCATTTGGATTCAGTGCTGCAGTAAGGTGACGATTGTCTCCATTAACAAATTATTCACCCCTAGTTTATTTTATGAAGATCAATTCTATGATGGTGAAAATGTGAAACCTTGTAAATGACAGCACAAGAGTGTCAAATGAACTAGGGGCAGGAAATGCAAAAGCTGCAAGTTTAGCAGTTTGGGTGGTGTTAGGCATAGCCTTAAGTGAGGGTACGTTATTACTTATAGTGATGATTCTGCTTCGAAATCACCTGGGACAAGTTTATAGCGATGACAAAGAAGTAGTGAGACAAGTGGCCTTCATGATACCAGTTTTGGCCATATCTAGCTTCCTTGATGGAATCCAAAGCGCTCTTTCAGGTCACTCTCAATTTCTCATAAGTCATATCTAAATTTCTTATAAGCACAACTCAAACTTGAAGGTGATGTAAATTTGAGTGAGTATGATCTGCATATATGTTCAGGAATCGTGAGAGGATGTGGATGGCAGAAGATTGGAGCGTATGTGAACTTGGGATCCTTTTACCTTGCCGGCGTTCCTTGTGCTGTTATATTAGCTTTCGTTGCTCACATGAATGCCAAGGTGAAAAACTCGCATGGCATTCTTGGATCTGAAATTTTGTTACACACAGATACTGTTATTTATTTATTGTGAAATAGGGGCTGTGGTTGGGGATCGTGGTTGCTTTTGCACTGCAAGTGGCATTTTTCCTGATCATTACAGTTGGCACTGATTGGGAGAAAGAAGTAAGGCAAAGAGTTCCATGGTTTTATATTTGGGAAAATATCTTTTATTCAACTTTTCCGCTTTTATCGATCCAGTTTTATATTTTAACTCCTTGTCCTTATAGCGTTGTTGACTCGATATAAACCCAATCCCGATATTTCTTAATTCACTAAAGAGTAGTTGTACTGCATCAAAATTAAAGAACTAAATCGATTATTGAAAAAACAAAATTCAAGAGCTAAAAGTCATATTATCCTTTATATATTTCAAGCATACATTGCTTCCGTAAGGTAAGGGCTTTGTTTTTCTTTTTCTTTTTTTTTTTTTTCCTGCAGGCAAAAGAGGCTCAGGGTAGAGTGGAGAGTTCAAGTATCTACTTCACAAGTACTGCACCAAGTGATCAAATATTACCATCTCAAGAACATGCAGCATGAATCCACTGTAGTCTTGCTAGTCAAGGTCTACTGTTTTGAATTTAGTTTTACCACATTATCAAGATGTAACGAGAAAAATAGTAAAATAATAATATTATTCAAGGGAATGATTTGAAGTACAAAATCATACTAGTAGAACAAAGAAAGGGACCTGTAGAAATAAAGGGACATCATTGAAACTCTGAACTCACCAGCCTAAACCCTAAACAAAAATCTAAATCTAAAATTAACCAACGCCTAAAACTACTTTAGTACTCACAGGAAAAAAAAAACTAAACTAAAACAAAAATATAAGGGAATCATCAAAAGTGGTCAATCACTTTGGGAAATCAAAAGCTGAGACTGAATGTGGAGGGAGCGTGACAGTTGTGTCCTTTCCAGCATTATCCAGTGGACTCTGTACTGGAACAACCTACAAAGAGACAAAAGAAATACATGGAATACATTACAAATGAGCTCTACAAACTTTAATATAAAAGAAATAAATATAAGAAGATGCAAGATATATACACACACACCTTTGTAGGCTCTTTAAAGGAATTCTCATCCAGTGCATTAGCAGATGTGATCACTGTCTTCGTTGCTCCTGATAGTTTCACATTTGTGCCCAATCCATTGAGAGTGATCTTAAGAGTTGCAGGATTCTCATTGAAGTTAACAACCTGCAAAAATGATTTGAATTACAAATGAGAAAGACACAAAATTGGCATAATTTGATTATGTTTTCACTTGAATTTATTTAAGCACCTTCACTCTTATGTAACTCTTCTTGTTGGTTGAATTTGTGAACATAATTGCAGACGCAAGGATTGAAGGAGGAGCTTCAAGTGTAGAGTTCAAATATGTTGCTCCGCTTGACTCTATGAAAAGCTTTTGCAAATAATAGCTTGGAGTTGCATAACTCTGATGCGAGTCAAATACAATAGCATCGGGCATCCACCTCCTATCATGTGTATTAACAAACAATGGTGCATAGCTCACCAATTCAACCACATCACTGTTTGGGAAAAGAAACAAAAATGATCAAAGAGTAATTAATTAAATGACTAGACATGAAAATTGATGACTAAGAGATGAGAAACCTGTTCTTCTCCAATCCCATAAGGAATCCAGCTTCACCCAATGCAGCTAAGAGGGTTCCGTTATTTTTTGCGGCATCACCCTCTTGAACAGCATATTCACTAACAAAAGCCTTAGGACCGGAACGAGGTATCTTATCAAACTTGGTATAGTTTTTGAACATAGTTGTAGAATCTTTATATATGTGGAAGTCATATAATTCTGCCGGGTGGTCCAAAGGTTTTGCAGTAGCATCGCAGTTTGATATAATTTGCATATCTGGATATGCACGTTTTATGGCAGCGTAGAACTTAAGATAGTTCCCATGGTAGTTAGGCATACCACAATTCTCGTTTCCAATAGCAACATACTGTAAGTCAAAGGGTTCAGGGTGACCTAAAGAAGCTCTTATTTTGCCCCATCTTGATGTGGCAGGACCTCTTGTAAATTCAATACCATCAAGAGCTTCCTATATAACAATTAACACAAGGTAAATTGAAAAGACTCAAAGAAAATGACGACTAACTAATAAGAAGGGCGTGTAAAACATAAAGAGTTTAAATTATACCTGAATCATAGGACCAATTCCCGTGGTATTGACTGAGTCGTGAAAGCTAATACCAGTGTTAAATACCCATATTGGGGCTGCGCCAAGATCCTCTGCCAACTGTTCCATTAATGGATATTTTTAATAATTAGTATATGATGACAAAATTAAGCGTAAATATTGAGAATCAAAACGAACTAACCTGAAGAAATTCTAAATAACCAAATCCATCATCAACCCAATAACCCCATGCATCATTGAAGTGACCGGGTCTCTTCTCCCATGGTCCAATGGTGTACTTCCACCTGAATGCATTTCTCATATAACTTCCTTCAACATAACAGCCACCTGATCATTCCATCCAATGAAGTTAGATTATGATTGAAAAAAAATAAATTTTTTAATAAATAACTTCAACCATTTCATATATGCTTACCAGGAAATCTGAGAAATTTTGGTTTCAAATCAGCCACCTTTTGAAAAAGGTCATTTCTAAAACCATGTCCCTGGTTAAAAATCCAAAATATAAAACATGTTAAAAAAATGGATTTTAATATGCTGATAATATAACACAGTAATTGATCAATTATTTGAAGACCTTGTATGTGTCCATAGGCATTGCTGATACTTGATCCAACCAAATAGTTCCTTTCTGGGTCGTCGTCAATTGAAGGCTTGCATTGACATCTGATGCTGTCGCTTCAAGAATAGTCTCAAACTTTTTCCATGTTTTCACATAACTTGCATAAGCCCTAAGAAAAAAGTAGAACCATTCAGTCAACTAATTTGTTTAAAAAAAAAAAAAGAGTACACAAATTAATAGGAAGTAATTAATAATATAATAGAATGTATATATGTATAATAAATAAATAGATAATATAATTATACTTGATGTTATGTGAAGCCAACTCTTTTCCATTTTCTCCTGTAAATGCCACTTTCAAATTAATTGGTCCTAAGGCACGAAGATAGAATATAATTCTATATTTCTTCCCTTGCTCAATATTCTGAAGGAAAAAAAAAACAGAGAGAACACGAAATTAAATGTTATATAGAACAATTAAGTATCATAGTGAAAGTAATATTATACCGTGGAAATTAAAATGTTAGATATACAAAGACTCACCATGCCCCAAAAACCAGGGTTGGAAAGGCCAACACCATTAGGACATTTTGAAGGTGAAGGACAGAGAATATCCAATCTGACAGCAACTTTGTTCATAGGAAACAAAGACGTAGCTTCAGTTTCAACATAAATGTTTGATTCATCCCCTATTATTGACCATGGAAAGATGCCTGCTGGAAGTTGTGAACCTTGTTCTTCAAAACCTAAACACACAACAACAAAAGCAACATGCTTTTCTTAATTCTATATAAAAAGAAAAAAACTTAATGTAATATTTAGTAAGCAGAAAAATGTTTTTTAGAAAGGAAATGACAAATGCACTTATCATTTCTTTTTCAAAAAAACACTTTTTTAGTGTATCAAACAAGCAGTATAGATAGGAGATTATCAAAATGGTCTTTACCTCTGTTGCTGACTAGCTCAGCCCACAATCCACCAGCGCCAGCGTGATTAATTTCCTACAAAATAGGTAATTGATGATTAGTTATTCTAGAATCATATATGTGAAAAGCTGTATATAAGTTTACAGATTGAACAAAATATTTACCTCAAAGAATACTCCAAAAAAGTTTTTGGAAATTGGCCTTCCAGTACCAACGTTCACAACTAATGTGGAAGTATCATTTCCAGCTGCAAAACTTTGAAATATAAGAGAAACAAATAGAACTATACACAATAGAGCTCTGAAAGAAGGCATATTCTTAAACCTCAAACTAATGTGATCTAATAGTTGGCATGCTACATATTTATAGCTACTAGTGGATATAATTTACATTTACATTATGTTATTTATCATAAGATATTATCAACGAGATTGTCGAAAAGAAATATTAACAACTAGATATTAAGTGTAAAGCAATATCAATCCTTTTTCAGGCAAAAAAAAAATAACAATACAAATTATTGATTTTCTAAACGCATACAAATTAAAATACTTAAATGAATAAAAAAAATGCAACTATTAAAAATATAAAAGTATATAACTAGACAAAATACTATTAGAGGGTAAGAGTCAAGTAATTAATGAAATAGTATAATTTTATATATGATATTTTGTTTACATTTAGCTTCTGTTATAAATTACATTACATCTAACTTTTAAATATGTTTTTTAAATTGATTATATTATGGTTTTTCTTAAGAAAAATGGGAAGGATCTCAACAAAACAAAAGAGAAAAATTATAAACCGTAAAAATGAATGCTCTTGTAATTTAATGACAAGTATAACTAAGCAAGAGAAAAATAGAAGGTCATATTAAAACATTAAAAGAAAAATATGAGTTATATATTGTTAGATCAGCGTTCTTATTAGCATCATTTTGGTTATAGATTCATTATCTTTTATAATATATATATAAAACCGATTTTGTATTTTTTTTGTCAAATGTAAAGTATTAAAAACTTCAATTGATTTATTTTAGCTATTTATCGTCAGAGAAAATTCTTCAATATCATTTCTTAAACTACAACTATATCTATATAATATATGAAAATATTCAAGTATGTTATGATTATTTAGTGATTTTTGGATTTTATGATATCTTGATGGATTTTTGTTTATAATATCTTTTATAATACCTATTTATAATTATTTTAAAATTTTATGATATTTTTATGTATCTTCATATTTTTATGAGATTCTTTCTTATTTTACTAAGTCAAAAATTTTCAAAATAGATTTTTAAAAAATAAAAGATTTTTATCAAAAAATTTAAACAAAAAGGCTCATATCATATTACAACAGCGTCATATCAACAAAAATTTGAAATATACAAGAAATAAAAGAACCCTAATTAAAGCACATAATGCCAACATAAAACTTTTTTTCGATATAGTAAAAATTTGCAACTTTAGTTGTTGACATGATATATACACATATATATTCAAAATTTGATGAATATAATTTATATTAATTTTTTAAAAATATTATTATGAATCCAATTCGTATCAACAATTAAACTATACTTGATAAGTTAATCCAAAGTTGGTGTTTACAAATAAACAAAAAAAAATTAAGTAATTTAAAATTAAGTAGGATAAGGAGCCTAGTTATTTAAAATTAAGTAATTTTCATATAGTTTATAAGGCTTAATGTGTTAACAATATTAATAACAAAAGTTTGTTGTGAAACAATGTTAATAAGAATTATATACATAATTTTATATTCTCAATGTACTTTTATCCAATCAAATTTAAACAAGTGACTTTTAATGTGTTAACAATATTAATAACAAAAGTTTGTTGTGAAATAAATAATTGATGCAAAATACACATGTTTTAATTTAATTGAAAACAAGAACTTTGAATATATAAGGATAAATATATAAATTTTTTATTTTAGATTCTTGTGATATCTTTATGATTTTTTTATGAAAAATAATTTATTACTTATTTATTTTAAAGGAAAAAATTAGTTTATATACATTTAAGGTACTTGCTTCTATTCAATTTAAACCATGTGTATTTTTATAAATGATTTATACTATAATAACCCTTTTTATTAATATTGTTAACACTTTAATATCTACTTATTTTTTTCTAACAAAATATCCACTTGTTTTTATTTGATTCCATTATTAAACAGATAAATTTAAATATATAAGTTTTCCGTATTCATGAATTATTTACCGTAGCTTCTCAAAATAATAAGAAGAATGTTTATCCATTCTTTTTTTTTAATTTTAAACAAATGTCATAAAGTTTTACAAAATAGATTTTTTTAAAAAAGTAATTTTTTTCACAACAAATAATTAAACTAACCACTGAGACTTGAGTTTGTCTTTACGTGATCAAATAATTTATTTAAGCTACAATTAAGAACTAACATTGTAATGCAATCCAATAAAATGGATACATTTAAAAGGGTGAACCAACATAAAGATTTGGAAAATGGATAAGAAGATGCAAAAGAGATGTTGCCATATTTTTTTTTATTTTTATTTTTTGATTCCCATGAGATGAAAGATAAAATTTTAATCCATTGCTTTTCTTTTTTAAGAATTGAAAAATATAAGGTAAGGTCTAATAGAAAGTATTAATTCCTTACAATACAATGAATTAAGTTTAAATTCTTGGTGAGAGAGGTCCACATTTAGTGGTTAATAGTGTGTCGAATAAGATTATTTTTAATAAAAAAATATTTATACCTGATAAATAAATAAAAAAGTTTATTACTTTGGGCAACATTTTTGTGTGTGTGGGTGTTTTCAGTTTTTTAATGAATGGGGTCCTTCTTCAATTTTAAACTCAAGCAGGCTTGGTGGCCCAATCCAAATAACAAGATTTTATGCAAAGCCTTGGGTTGGAATAATTCTAGCCCACATCCAAGCATTGACTTGACTCTATATTTTTTTTAATCTATTTTTTATTGTTTGGGGCATAATATATTTATACTAAACTGTTTTGCTCTATTTTATATGATGAAAATGATTTTAATAAAAATAAAAATAAATATGAAAGTGAAAATGAATATGAAGTTTAAAAATATGATTGGTATGTTCATAAAATTTGAAGATTATTGTTATTTAATATTGATATTTAAAATATAAAAAGATTAAAATGCTCAAGTTAAATTTTTCTGCCGACCCAGATATCAAATCATCATCAACCATTGCCAGAAATTACAGCCACCATCCATGAAATCAAAAAGAAGATCCACCTTATCACATAATCAAAGACACAAAAAAGGAAACAAGATCTATGACATCTAGTTGTTTCACAAACGTTGAAGGCAGAATGGATTGAGAGGCAAAGATGGTTGGGATTTGATGATGGTGCAAGAGGGGCAGTAAACTGAAAATATTTTTTCATTAATCACTCAAACTACAATTTACACAAATAATTATATCTTCCCTCATAATTTTCCCTTATCTTTCTCTTTTTGCTAATACTCTCTCTCACTTTTCTCACCACCTATTCACATTCTATAAGGCTACACCCACACGTACTTCTCATTCTCTCCCTTTCCTCACTCACACGCTCTTGTTTCTTCTTTTTCGTTCTCTCTTCTACCACACACGACACACACACCACACACATATCTATACATTAACCATGTTGGTGATAGCTTCTCCATAGCATTCTTGATTTTTCCTCTTTCCACCCGCCTTAAGAGGATTAAATAATTATTCCTAGAAATCACCTTTTCACCGCCTTTGTCATATTGCTTTAACTGAGTAAATTTCTAGATTTTTCTTGATTTATTCCAACTCTAGATTTTTCCTAAACTAGTCGATGTTTTTGCCACAACGATGCTGTCAGGGTAGTAAGAGGGAGTGTAGTCATGCAAACGAGAAGAGACGAGGAGGAGAGAGTGGAAATTATGATAAAGGTCACAGTCGTATGCATCATTGTAAGATCTTGGCCTTCATCCTTGTTCTTGCTCCTCCTGTGTCATCTGTGTCATTGTTAGATCTGGAAGGTGG